TTCATTACAAATGGGACACTGGAACTTCCGAATGCAGTCCACAATTTCTTGACTGGCTTGGCAACGGTTCGCGAGCCTCAACATTTGTTCTGTCGATGCATGACCTGTGTTCACATGCAATTTACGAACCAATGCGGACACTCGCAGCTGCTTGGGATTCAAACTTCGGCTGTTCGAATTTGGCTCGTCATGGTCTGGCAGTCTCTCTGATCGATCTTCTATCTCTTCTTCTAGTTGATCTTCTTCTTCATCTTGAGCTAAGATCTCTACTGCATCTGGACCCGAATGTCCATGGAGACTTTTGGCAAGACCATCGGCCATGACACGTGCAAACTTATTAGGATATGTCTCGGCCCAGGATGTCAGATTTCTACCTTTGTAGTTTCCTTCTAGGTGATCATGACCATGCTTATGATCGCACCGAAATGGGACAAGGTGCTGCATCAAAGACTCCTGAGTGCTGACAATCCGAGTTGGCTTCAAGACAGGGATGTTGGATTTGGGGCTACGGAGCCCGAGTGCACATTGGTCAATTCGGATTGACCAGGCTGGTCCAAGCACTAACTCCTGCCACATATCGGACGAGTGCGGATTCTCAGCATGTACATGACCTCCAAGGATGGTTTGGAGATGCCATGTTTCCGAAACACATTGCAGATGTCTTCTAGCTTGATGTCTCTTTTTCAATACTTCTTGTTTCCTAGACTCGGAAAATGCCATATTGAACCTCGACCAGGGACCCCAGCACTTACATGGGGGAGCAAACCAAATGTGATCAGGCTTTGTCAAGGCTACCAGGTATAGGAGATTTCGTCTATCCCTCAACCTACCAAGATCATGTCCATAATCTATCCCAATTTGGATTGCTGTTTTCTGGTTTCTCTTTTCGTACTGTTTGGACAAATTGGCTGTTCCTGTGAAAACTTCTATGAGTCCAACCTTGGAGTCAAGTTTACTAGCCTGGTTGCCCAACCAGTGGCGAAGTTCTGAAAGCACTTCCTGCCGATTGCTCTGCAGTCGCGACAAAGCCATGCGTACACCGACACGGCGTGCAGCTGTGATTGCGTCTTTCAGTTTCGTTGGGGTTTCTTTTGGAACATCCTGCAAGTCAAGATCTACCCAGTCAACCTCTTCATACAAAGTTTCGAGGGTGTTTGATTGCATGGTGTATTCCCAATCCCCTTCTATGTCATCATTACAACAACAATCACATTGGTGCGCTGATGGCGTCGGCTCTGCTGGTTCGACACGATCGGACTCACTGCCGGCACTCTCAGGTTCAGAGGGTGCTTGCTCGGATCGAAATGCAAAGATCGCAACCTGCATTGGGTTGACAGGTCTTCTGACCCGTCCGGCTGGACGAACGATCCATCCTGACATGAGCATGTTTCCATCTTTATCCATAGAGACTACATTCATATCAAGTGAAGTTCGTTCGGCTTCGGCAGGAATCCTTTCTAGTCTAGGTTTATATGCTACATAGGCATGCACCACCGGGTGTTCGGGACATGAAAACAATTGGGACAGCTCGGCGCGAAAAGCACTGCAATCGACGTTTCCTCGTTTGGTATGTTTACACACAGTTTGAAACGCCCTCCGAGTATCACGCGGGGTTGGCTCCATTTTTGGTGCACTTAAAACACTGTTTTTGTTCGTGTCCTGTCCTCTGAGTTCTTGGTGGTGCTCGAGATCAACGGAGATGGACTGGCGGTCCATCGCTTGGGCTTCATGCGGATTGGGCTCATTTGTATTCGAGTCGTTGAGGACTGTCTCCCACTCAGCAACCTGTGGCACCAGAGACAACAGCAGATGGCCATTTGCGGCCTGTTTCAGGGGTACATCTTGCATACCATGTTTTGGACTCGTGATGGTCATTCGGCCCAAGTCCAGTGTGGCCTGCATACCCTCCAACACCCTTCGTGACAGCAGGAATGGCGCGCTTCCAGGAACAACATATGTTGTGATATTCCCTTTCAACGAACCCAGCTGTACTGTCCACTTCAAACCAACAGCTGTTGTTTCGCTCTGACCATTGAAGCCGCGAAGCTCAACTGTAGGCATAGTGACACGCACGGGTGGAGGAAAATTGCATTGTCTGAAAACCTGCTCATATCTCTGTGCCGTTTCCTCGCCAACAACGGATGTTGTACAACCAGTATCAATGATTGCAAAACCTGATGGAATTGAGGCCAGGAGAATTTCCAGTTCAGCAGCGGTGGACTCGGTCAGGGCATAGTTGAACTCGGTCAATGTCCTGTCAACAATTTCCACAGCTTCTGTCAGGTTGGCGTCCTCACGCCTCGGTGGTTTCTTCTTTGGGTCCTTTTGTGGCGACTTCTTGTCAAAGGACCTTTTCTCATAGCGTGGTGTTTTGGACGATGCAGCCTGAGTTCCCAGTGGAGCCTGGGACAGGCCGCCTTCGGTGGGTGGAATGGCCACCACCGGCATGTATGGTTGTCGTGCTCTTTTGATTTCCCTCACCTTCTTCTTTGACTCCTTGTAGGTGCGAAACTGTTTCTTGAATTCTTTCTTTGCTTTCTTCTGAATCTCATAGACCTCCTGCAGCTCTTCCTCAGAACCTGAACCCAGAGATGTTTCGCCACCCTCAACTTGGTAGGCCTCTTCACCAGACCCGGAGTCAGAAAGTGGGTCGACGGAGGTGGATGAAGCTTCAGCAACTTGTTCAACAGCATAGGCTTCGCGTCGTGGTCTCACCTGTCGACGATCGTCCAGCCGTGGTCGCCGGTCATCCAATCTCTCCTCATAGTCACTAGCGCGCAAAATCTTCTCAATGTCAACAAATCGACTGGAGCCGCCTGTTGAACGAATGATGTGGCTGCGTTGCTCACGCGACAAACCAAACTTTCTCATGAACAAGTGTCCCAAAACTGACTGTGGAAAAATCGGTTTTGGCTTTGTATGCGACTGCTCCAACGTTCCAAGAAGACGTTGCATACGGAGATGATCTTTTCGCTGGTCACCTTTCTGAGTCCCAGTGGACTTCCCCTGTGAAGCCTTTGAGCTCGACTTCGCACTTCGGACCGATGGAGTGGATCCGGTCCGACGATGAGGATCAAGGGGAGGATCAAAAGGACCTGGAGGAGGTGCTGCTCTGGCCTTGGCTTCTGGCCGGACTTCATCTCCAGCTTCTTGTTCAGTTTCATCAGTTTGTTCATTGGGATCGTCTGGAGGTAGGGCATGTTCGTCCGACTCTTCCAGACTACTCGAATCTTCCTTTTTCTTTTCTTCTTCGACTGCGGACTTCGGTTGCTTCTTCGACAGCTGACGCTCCTGTGAGATGAGCGTTTCCAGGCGATGCAGACTTGTCTTGAACCGGGATGTGAAGGAAGTGGCTCCCTCATGTCCTTTCCGCTTCAACCCAAAAAGGAACTCATCTATGGCCTCGTGGAGCTCGGTCTCGGGCAAATAACGGTAATGCTGATCAAGCGTCCGAACAATTTGCAGCCAGCCTTGTTCACATCGAAGGTCAGCAATTGGAATGTTTTCGGTCGCTTTCCAAGCTTCGCCAGACAATCTTCCGAGGACTCGAGGACCGGCCAGGTGTTGTTGCTTGTCCTCAAGGGATGCAACACCAAGGATCAGCTTGCGTCTGAACTCACGATATCCGCTTGGCTTCCCATCGAAGTAGAGGTCTTTGAGAGTGTCTTTGTAGTCCATGGCTCAAACTGCCAACAACAAACAACAATGTTCCACAACCAACAATCAATGCTCAATGCTCAACAATCAACGTCAACTCAACCTTGCACCACTGCACAAGCAATGTACCTAGATGGCACGAGCTGCTCTGCGGTTTGCACCGCACCCGGGATCAGGCCGGGACCTCACAAAGCAATCCTGGAGCTTGGCAGCTCCGCTACCATGTAAAATGGTGAGCGGAGGATCAACAGCAACTTGTAAAGGCAACTGTCACAACTCAACCAACGGGGATCAAAGAACTCCGTCACGATCAAAAGCAAGCGGTACGCTCACTTTTCCATTGCGCAACCGTCGGGGGCTCGGATGAGCCAGACTCAAGGGCCCTTGTGCCAAAATGGTCACATGAGAGGGCCGCCATCTCATATCATGATATGCATGTTCCAATGCATACAAATTCACAATATGTGTGTATACGTGAAGCCAGAGAAGCCTCCTGCCCGGATGTATTGTGGTTTTGAATGCGACTGTGGTGATCTAGCTATCCACGAACTTGGAGAGTGTCTCCTCCTTCGCCAGGATGTGCAGAGACGAGTTCAGCCTAATTCGTTGGGCACTTGCTCCTGTCAGTGAGGGGTTCCGTTGTTCCATCGCGCAAGACGAGTGGCCGCGACTGGATTGAAATCTGGAATCTCAATCGAGCGGAGCCTTTATCCACTTGAACCAGAACTGCGACTGTGCTAGAACACCTGAAAGAGGCGTCTATTGTTCCTTGTTCTAGACTATTTTCATAAGAGGGCTGAGGGATTTGCATTCAGGGTGAGATGTGTGAGAACAGACATCCAGGTCTTCCACACAGCTGGAACAGATCCTCGGCCGGCTGAGGGGGCGCCCTTGCGCCGGAGAAGGATGGTCCGGGTGCCCGAGCTGCGAGCTGTGGTCTTTTGGCAGCTCGAAAAGACTGGTTCTTTTCGCCCACGGAAAAGTTTCTTTTTTTTTCCCTCAGTTCTCACTGTACATGCCAAAATGACCAACATTGGCTGCGGTTTTGCTGTTTTCCCTGGAGGTGTTCCATGTCGAGGTGTACAGGCCCAACTGGTGCGAACACCATGGGTTTCATAAGCTTGCTTTCGTTCTTCGTGCAGCTTCTGTTGCCCAAATGGAGAACTTTTGAGCCAGGCATGAAGACAGCTTGCAAATGCATTTCATGATTGATTCCTGGTCGTTGTTGTTTGGTCTGTGAACCATTATTCAGTTTCTGACTCACAGAAGTCACAGAAACAAGTACAAAGGTTGCCCACTGACAACATCTCGTCCGGACCCTGACGCGATGGTGCGACCCTTCGGATCATTCGAGGCAGTCGCCCTGGAAGAGATGTGGTTTGTTGGAACTTTTGTCATGGCAGAGGTGTGAGTTTATTCGGTGACTCTGTGTCCCTGTGTTGGGACAGATGGAAGTTCATTCTTTCTTCAGTGCAAACCAATTTCCTTCAAATGGGACAGAATCGACGTGCGTATTTGTTCAATCTATACGGCTGGATGTCATGGTTTGTTTCAAAAGTGCTCCTCCCTTTGAATCGGGTGTTCTGTCTTCGTTCTTTGGGTGCCATTGCAATCGAATGACATGCTAGCTGGCGCAGGCGCAGACTGCCACTTGGCTGCAGCCTTTATATAAATGGCTCTGCTGTGTAGAGGTGGTAAAGGCTTCTTGCAAAGGCCACATTTGAGGTTGTTCATCTAGCCGAGTAAGCTGCAAATGATCAGGCGTTTGCTTGCTCCAATTGCAGTGCTGCAGCCATTTCAGCCATTTTCATTGACTGCGGGCGCCCTCAGCCATGAACACCCAGCAAATCGGAGTTTTTCTCCTGCTTTTATCCATAAGTGGTGCAGCAGAGGCAGTGTGCTTTGTTGGCTGAAACAGCTTGAAGATGGGAGAGATCTAGCTGGATTCAGAGTCAAACCTTTACATCAATAGTCTTCGACTTCCATTTTGTAGAGCTCGTAGTCTTCGAGGGACTAGGACGTGGGAGGAAGGATTGGCAGACTTGGGAACAGTATCCTTCGCCCAGTTGATGGACCCAGTCAGCACGTGCAGTACGACTGCAGGTGCCAAAAGAGTCCGTGACCTTCTCTTTGCACGACTACAATGATCTTTACAGTTGCCTGGCTTAAATAGGAGCAAGGACGCTACTAGGGGCTCCTGGCATCGCTACTAGGAGCAAGGACGCTACTAGGGGTTGAAACGGTTTTTCAACCCTAAGAGTTGGACGCAAAACCGCGACACTGAAAACATGCACAGCTTTGTGGTGCGGCGGTGCGTATTGCACAAGATGACTGTAGCGACCAACAATGCGCAAACTAAATGCATGACACCTCCTACAAACACCATTAGGCGAGTGTGTTGCCATCAGCATGAACATATCCCAGGAATCTTCAGGTAATAGATGTCTCAAGAGCCTCAGCATCCCTCTGACTTTGCGGTCTAGCTGCATGCTTGCTGCAAACATCCCAACATTGGTACACTCTGCACGACTCACGACCTGACTCCTAAGAATTAACAAGGAACAAACCATTGGAAGAGACAAAACACCTATAGTGATCTCCGATGGCGGAGGCGATTTGTCCGGTCTAACCACATCTAACCACACTGACTCCACAGGTTTTGGTCGCACCGCGCCTGCCAGGACGGGCTGAGTTGAAGGACTTGCAGAGGCAAGTGGTTGATGAGAGAGCGGATCTGCAAAGAGAGAAGAAGGCGAGGACAAATCGAACCAACGCTTGGTTGGTGTTCATTTTGTTCGTGACAAATTGGTGTTTGGATTGCTTGGACAGCCGGGCTTTTATCTCTGCTCTAGACCCAGAAACTCGAACTCAGAGTGAGAAAGGGGCTACTTACCGATCTTCCCGTATCTTCCCTGATGCCAATGAGATGGATTTTGCTCGTGGCCAGCCGGGGGCACAGCCAGTTTTAAGAAGACCGGCTGGAAGACCCATGGAACTTCGTGGCGCTTCGCGCTTTCATCATCTTTCATCTCTCTAGGAACTGGAGGATCGCTACCTGAAACAGCAAAGAGCTCGAGTGGAACGACTGGAGGTGCGAGCGACAATCGCTGGGCTCTTCTCAGGCATGCATATTCGTACACGATGTACGAGACATTCCCATGTTTCTGGGCAAGACATGGGTCACATACAACATGCGTCGGTCAATTCAAAGGCATTGAGCTACTCTTTGCAGCCCATGTCGTGACACCCCAAACTAGAAGATTCCAAAGAGAGTCATTGGCGCTGAAGTTTCCTCAGTTGTGGCAACCACCAGGTGCTTCCACAGAATTGGCAGCTCCTCAGACACAAAGCCGAAGGTAACCTGGCACACATAAAGTGGATGGCTTGATTTAAGTTGCAGCACCATCTCTGCTTCAGTATCTCCAGTCATTTCTCAAGTCTGGATGACCTTCTTGCCTGGAAGGAGAATGTCAATTGCAGCATGGGCAAGAGAGGGCTCCAGCAACTTACAATTTTATCATGGACTTTCGAATCTTCGAGAACCAATGGACAGCAACTTGGCAGCCAAATAACTACTTGGCAGAGCTTGTTCTTTTCGCTATCGAGCAACGAGCAGCAAGAACGAAACACCAACACCACACTATCTAGCTCTTCTAAATATGGAGTCCACGCCTGGTTTAGCAAGTTAGGGGATTGATTCTCAATCCAGCGGTCCCCGGAACGTACTTCTGATTCATTTTCCACGAAGCTTTCTTCGGTGTGATCCAGTGTGGCCGGACTAACTCCCGTGTCTCTGTGATCCATCATTTCTTTTGCAAGAAAACCCTGGAGATGCTGTGCTTTCACAGATTTTCCCACACTTGTCTTGTGAAACATGTGAAGTTTGGACACCATCCGAGATGCGTGCCACTCCACGACCCATCTTGTGAAACCCATTCATTGCCCCGACTCGGCGCTTTCACGCCGAACACGTCGGGGTGTCCGCAGGCGATTCGCCTCATCGATGCCCAGACGATCGTGACCGACTGGTCCATCCAACGACGTCCGGCGGTCTCCGCCGCGGAGTTGGAGTTGGTGACCTTGGGCCTTGACAGCTTTTTGACCGTGCAGCGACGGCCAGAGGCACGTGCTTGTTAAACATGTTGTGAAGGCGAACGAAGAGAATCCAGGTGTGGGTGATCAGTGTCTCCCGCTTTTGAGAAAGGTGCTAGGTGTCAAGGAAGTAGATATGAGGAACTTAGGAACCTGTCATGAATCGTGTCCTCGCCTAAGTTCAATGGCACGGACTTAGCAAGCATTGTCCTCATTGTCGTTTGATTCGGAATCACTCTCCCTCAACGTAAGATAGTCATTAGTACCTAACACTGCCTAGCACCATAGAACAAAACAGTTCACTCAAGAACTCCTGCACAATCTGCTCATGATGCTCGCGGAAGTTTCGGAGTGCTTGACATGAGATGTTGGCCCTACAATTCCACCCTGGCTCTTGTTTGTCGGTGAGGTTTCACGCATTGCCAGTCTTGAGGGATTGTTGTTGGAAAGTCTCTGACAAGTGGCAAGGCAAAAGAGTTCGCAGTAGTCGCAGCTGAAAGATATACTATACTGATGAATTGGTGCTTGCTTTTGGTGCGCTGTCATTTTTCTGGCCCAATTGATCTCAGTGTTCAGAAATGTTCTATTATTGTTTTATGACTCATGACGCAGAAAAACGGAGCTCCAATGGAAAGCGGGGTGGGGAAGGGTCTCAGTTTTGCAACCATAATTCAAGTTTCCGACTCACATTTTTGCTGACCTATTTCCATGTCCCAAGCATCAGTGTTTGCTTGGGAGGTGGAAGAGGCCGAGGCCTGGGAAGATCATACCCTGGTGACGAACGTCTCTGGTGTCTACAGGATTGGCATGTGGCTTTGGGCCAAGTCACCGCCAAAAGACCGAAACCTGCAAGTCCAGGATTTTTTGTTGCTGAAATAGATCTACGGTTCAGCGAAAAGTGGCTGGCACCTCGTTTTTTGCAGCACGGTTGTGGGACGTCTCGCGACACCCGAAAGCGCTGGAAAAACATCACCGCCCAGGAGGAACATGACACACATGATTGCTTTAGCGCTTTCGGGGTCCAAACATCCATGGGGAGCGACGCTACCAACGGAGCAAAGGGCATCGCTACTAGGAGCAAAGAAGCTATTAGGTTGAAGGCCATCGCTAGTAATTAGGTTGGAGGCCATTGCTATCAGGTTGGAGTTTATTCTTGGAATGGTGACAGGGCCCAACCTCGGGAACTTGCGCGGGATATATTCATTGGTCGCATCGCTGCGCAACATTTTCCCCGCAAAAGGTTGTTTGCCCTTCCAACCTCTAACATCCCGGTTTCGATAACAATTGGTTTAAACATGTTTAAACCTACCACACAAATTTGGGGCCAAATCAAGTGGAGCACTGTTCTTTTAGGGATGGCCACCTATGAACACCAACCAATTTGAACTACCCATGGTTGGACTTCTAGCTTGGCAGGATTTCTTTCCGAGCCCATTCACAAGTGCGCAGCAATCGACAACTGCAGACGTTGCAGCTGAATCTTCTACACCCCATTACAGAGACTTGGCATCAAACAGAAAACACGCATCTTGTGCTGACCGGTAGTGGTACATCATTTTGGGCCTCAGCCAGGGAGCAAGGTGTGTCTCAGGGATAGGAGTTGCATGTAGAGGGAACACAGCAGTCAACCCTCTCATTTGCGCGAAAGAATTTCCTTGTGTGTTCGATCAAATCCTAATCAAGAGGTTTTTGATAGGACTTTTGGTCCTTTTTCTATCATGTAGTCGACCACCATATTGTTTCGTCTTGCTACCTTGCGAACTGCAACCTATCATCCGACCAGACGGCAGAGTTATGACTGTGTTTGATAGCTGCCTTCTTTGAGTCCGTTCTTCTACTCCAAGACCTCCAAAGACCTGCAGCATCAGCGGGAACCAAGGAGACCAAGCTTCGGCTGGGCACGCAGCAGGGACGGATCAGGGAGATTTCCGTGGAGCCCAGCGCGCATTGGGAGACCAAGGAGGTGCGAGGGCGTGAAGTTGAAGTTGCAAAGCAACCACTAGTGACCCCCACAGACTTGTAGATAGAAAAGCTAAATGCCCCGGTAGAACTGTATTTGGTATTGTTTGAACAGTGCATAGTTGTGTAGGGTTCCGGGCAGCGGCAGTCGTGGTAGCTTGAAGCATCGGTGGAGATGGGCTGAAGGGATGAAACATGATGAACCATGATGAAACCGAGCCTAGAGCATCGGTAACGTCTACGCTTTCACACCGTCTTCCTGTCACCGAGCCAATCTCGTCGGCCGACGAGATCGCGCTGAGAAAAACCGACCGTTCTCGGGTGCCTTGGTGTCGGAGGCTGCCAACGTCACGGACATGGAGTTAAAGCTCCCGAGCACCAAGCAGCTCAGCGTGTGCCCTGCAGACATCAGATGAAACCGAACCCCGGGAGGGTTGAGCAGATCCGAACAGAACCGAGGCCACTTCAAATGGATGTAGTTAGAAGATGTTAGAAGATGAAGCAAGATGAAGTGTGGTGCTCCTAGTAGCGATGCCCTTTGTTGCTAGTAGCGTCCTTGTTCCTAGTAGAAATGCCAGGAGCTAGTTAATAGCTTCTTGCTCCGTTCGTAGCGAAGCCCTTTGCTCCGTTCGTAGCAACCTTTTGGAACGCGGTTCTTCGGAGTGAAGGTTTGGGTTCTTCTTCGGGTCTCAGAGGAGACTCGATCTGTGCCCCCACGGTACTTGGTTTCTTGTCTCGGCACACCACTCCGATGTCTTTTTGGAACCAAATGCTCACCGGATGAAGGACCAAGACACCCTTGTGCAACTTGGTTTGTGTCTGTAGAAATGAGCGGTTTGTTGTTAGAGAGAATGAACGATTGGCGAGTCCTGATAAAGCAGAAACTCAAGAAAGCATGGGAAACCCGACTTCTTTTTATTAACAAGACCCCTAAGGCAGGTTTCTGGTTCAAGATCGTGTTTTTTTCGGTGTACATACTGCACAAACAAAAGTTAGAATGACGTTTTGGGAAACCGCAGGGGAATTATATTTCGCATAGGACCACCTGAGATGACTTGTAAAGCAGGTGTTTTTAGAGGATACGTTAGAATGCTGTTTAATTTGTGCATATTGGACAAAGCCATTCGTGCAAATAAATAGCGCTGTGGCAAACGTTAGAATGGTTTCACCTTAATTACTCAGCCAAGGCCGTTTTGGTCAATGTCAATGTGAAACTTTGAGCTTGTTCTTAGAGCTAGTGAGTGTGTGAAGAATGAAGATTGTTTTGTGTCTCATTGGACACCTGCATTCTATGTGTACATTCAATCACACAATTGGAGCAACATTGATGAAATGCCCTGTGAGTGTGAGGTAAACAAATGATAACATGTAACAACAAAGGGTTACCACTACCACAATAATAGATATTGAGAGACATATACAAAGATATGCCAACGGGCAGATCCCGCAAGTTCTGTGTGAAGGCGGGCAGTACCATGGCCAGATCCCACTCGCTCAGCTCACAGGAAATGGCGTATTGTTCCTCGAGAGTCTGACGATGGACTTGGAGGCGGACTTGATTCCAACGGATCCGCTTCAGAGGGTGGTTTGTGGAAGAAACGTCCCATGGACATCCACGAACTGTGGCAGCTCGATTTGACCGGATTCGGACCGTTCAACACATGGGGTTTTGAGCGGACCGTTCAACACGTTTTGAGTCTAGAGAATCGGTGTGATAAAAGAGAATCGCGGCGCGGCGATGTGTGTAGCTTTGCACGGCGGTACATGGCGTGTCCAAGGAACACCTTGGTACATGGATTTTCTCATATACAGCGTGTGAGATAGCTCCTGTCACTGTCCCAACCTTCTGTCTCTCCTTGGAAATGCGGACCTGGCAGGTCTGGAAGCTGCTTCGCCCGACACACAAGCAGCTCAAGTTGAAGCCAGCGTAGTGCACGATGCTTTGCATTCTGTGGACGAGAGTATACTTCAAAGCCTGCACTCCTTCAAGTATGTCTTAGATTCAGACTCTTGACGCAGCATTCATAGAGGCTTCTGTATACTTCCCCGCAAATCAGTACAGGGCAGCGCTGCTAAACAAGGAGTATATAGCTTTTTGTTCTAGAATCATGTGTTTTCAACGTCCATTGAAAGGGCGCAATATCCTCAATGAAGTCGACCTTTGCGTAGTTGAACATGTTTGTGCAGTTTTTGATTGGTACATGGTACATCATGGTACAAGATTCGTCGATGATACAAGAATGAATGGCTGCACATATCACAGCATTTCTTGCGTCATTGTTGCCTGTGGAAATTCAACCAAGTGCCTCGCCGCGCGGGCGCTGCCTGTTAAGTCAAAACTGTTTTGGATATTGTCTTTGGGTTCGGGTGTATTTGTGGATGTTAAATGAATTGGTCGATATTTGAATGCCCTTGGCCGCATTTCCAGCAACATGCGATGTTTGAATCCTCGCTTTTCGGGATGCTGTCTAGCACCATCCCCTCAAGATCCCTCATGGATCCAACGAGTTCCGCCAGTCCCGTTGTCCAGCGGGTTCTCAACCGGAGGAACAGTCGCTGAACCAAATCGAGATTCACTTTCCTGGATCCGAGCGCATCACGAGTGTGGTTGCACCGGGCATGACCACCTGGAAGACGAGTCCGCTGAACACTACGAACTTAGAAGGCAGCAAAGTCCGGATTTCGTTCAAAAGCTCTGCAATCTCCAAAGCTGCTTGGCAGGGATCCCTTCTACAGCGGGGGCAAGCGATGTTCCCGTTTGGGTTGATGATTGGCTACTTGTTCCATCTTTCCAACTCTTCCTTTTCTTTCAACTTCGAACACCCTGGCGGAATTGGTCATTACCTACTGCAGCTGGAGAACGGTTTGTGGTTATGACTGGCGCCTCAAACCCAAGTTGCCAAATTCAGGAAGTGAGCATTCTGGTGACCACAGAGCTTTCAGTCGCACAACATGGACTTATCCGATTGCCAACGGCGTACTGTCAACGCGTGCTGCGCCAGTCTCTTGCTGATTTAGCAACCGGTTGAGGGAGTTTCAATAGAATTATTGTCACCAAAACCATTGCAGGGAGTTTGGCTGGGAATGGCTGTTTCAAGGAAATGAAAGGGAAGAAACAGGAATTCCTTGTGTTGGATGCCTCTCCAAAAGGATACAAAAGGAAATCCAAATACAGATAAATACAGTAAAGTGCCGTTAGTGTCCACTGTCATATGGAGTTCTGTACATCAAAGGAGAGGCAATAGGATTCAAGAGGACATAAAGGAGGCCAGTCTGACCCCTACAATCATCATACATAGTATTTATAGTTTATATATATATATAACTTATATAATGTATCTTATAACGTGGAACATCGTGGAACTAAACGCTCCGTTTTCTCGACTTTCAAAGGGCTACAGCAAGCAGGTGTCTTTACATAACTGCGCACGCTCTCCTTCCAGTGGTTCACTGGAATGAGTGCGGTTACGCTGTGAAAACCGATCTAGCTCAATCAACCCAGTAGGAATAAGACGACATTCTCCGGGAGTAGCCTCTATGCGAAGCTCTGCACCATCCACTGGCATGGGGACCAGCAACCAACTTCTTGTTGGGTGAACTTTCTAAAGACCAAAGCACGTTTTGTTTGGGCTCATAACCCATGTGGAACTACACGCTTCGTTTCCTCGATTTTTTAAGGGCGACCGTAGGCAGGAAGGGCTACCGCAAGCAGGTGTTTGTACACGACTGTGCACGATAATATAACAATATCATAATCATCTCTCTATATATACTTATATATATATATGCACACTCACTCTCACCTTCCTCCTCACCCTCACCTTCACCCACTCTCACTCTCACTCGCGACAATATATGTTCACCATCGTACTTCACATCTTCACACCTCATCGGCCACTCATCCGCTATCATTCTATCATTCCTCTTCCTTCCGCCTCAAGCCTCCACTTGTTGCAAGCACACACGCTTCACATGTGGGGTTATCTGGTCCTTTAGTTGTTGTTAGCCGCAGAGAACTCCAAGCTCCTAGTGAAAACTGTTGCCAAGCCCACGCTTCTTCAACAAAGTTCCTGGCACTCTTGGCCTGTTCAAACACACTGTCTTGAGAGCTGGGAAATTGCAGTGTTGCGCCTGAATCGTAGATACCAGAAAATCACATATATATATATACACAGCTGCGCGGCTGGACCCCCTTCAACAATGGATTTTGATAATTGTATGATATCGTTTAATCAGGGATGTTAACAAGCGGGATCAGTTCAGAGTCCGAGGACCAAAGATGCATAGCAAAGAATATGAAACAATAGAACACCTAGAGGAAACAAAAGGACACCAGTAGGAACCACAGTGGTGGTGTTCAAGCTAAATCACACCAGGGGAGATCTTGGAGAAACATATTTTCCATGATCAACCCTCAAAACAAGGAATAGTTTCGCGAACACTTGTTGCAACTCCCACCCATTTTACCAAGCGGGGCTTGACATTGTTCTCTTCCATCAGCAACTCCTACAATTCCAAGTTGCTTTCAGAGGATCTTGTTACTGTACGTCCACATGTCAGTAACTGGATCCGACGTCTGGTTTGGTGGCATGTGAGGTCTGGCACCATGGCTGTGGTGAAGCTTTCGAACATTGAGTTGCATCAGGAGGCCGCTGCAGGAGTAGCACGACTGGGCTTGGACCAGGCGGGGGACCCTTGGGCCAAAAAATGGGACTTTTGGATGACTTTAGTGGGTGGCCGTGAAAGCAATGTGGTTGATGCACAATCTGGAACATGAAAAAGACAGCCAAAGGGAGCGCCATAAGGAGTGTAGGGTAATAGGGTAGTCAAGCAATTGATTTGTGAGCAACTGGAGGTGGCTAGAAGGCCGCCTTTTTCTGAAAAAGTCAGTTCGGCTGCTTTGTCAGCATGCCCGACCAAGTGGTCGTTCGAGACAGCCGTTCGTAGCCCTGAGGTGCCTCTGCACATGAGCAGCAGGGCAGGAAGGCCAATCATTTTGGTGCCCAGCCAACAGTTTTGTATTTTGTTATTTCTAGTTGGTCCCAAGTACAGAGAACTCAATGCCGCTTGGAGTTTGTAATGGTTTCTTTATAGTACTTAGGAGATGATCAAACACATCTTCAGTTCCTCACTGTTGAGGCGTACAAGTTCCTGGCTGCAGCTCATGCAGTGGATCTCTCAGTAATCCACCATGAGGAGCTCAACACTTTGGAGTCTGTCGTGGATACGGCACTCTATAAGGTCCTGGTCGCCGGGCTCCCTAGGTCAGTGGTTCACCTGTCAAGGGAGGCAGACCTCTTGGATGAGACCCTGCAAGCGGTCTGATGTGTGGCCCTTCAAAGCGCTGAATGCATCTGAGGTGGACGGCCAGTTGATGCACAGTTTGATGCTCCAGCTGCAGAACACTCAGCGCCAATACATGGCAATCCAAGGTGACTTGGCCAAGCTGTTGCTGTTGTGAAGGTGCAGCGCTTTCATAAAAAGATGCTTTCAACGTTCAAAGATTCTCAGCCAACGGTCGCAGCTGATCAACGCTCTTCTTTCAAAAGAGAGTCGGCAAAGCTCGACAGCTCAATCTGTGTCGAATTCTTCAGGTCAGGTGACTCATGTGGCAAAACAAAGTTAGTAACAGGTGCCTTACTAGTAGTAACAAGTGCCTTACTAGTAGTAACAAGAAGCTACTTTGCTGTGTCAAAGACCTGTGCAGACCTCATGTGCTCACCTGATGTCCTCAGAGGAATTGCCCAGAATGCCACCATTTGGACCACCCGGGTGAACAGCATGGACTCGAAGTTGGCCTCTCAAGGTGCCGCGCTGTTGGTTCCTCTGATCCTTGGACTGCAGCGGTTGAGGGTGTGTTTGGGCGAAAGCCAAAAATCCCTATGGCCGGTTTGGGAAACATCATCTTCCGAAGCTCCGCAACGGATGGGGCGATGTTTGTACCGTTGCGACCATCTATGACCACGAAGATGTAGACATAGAGATCATACTGTAGAGTTGTTGAGGACAGATGAGGGTCTTCTGAGCTTTCGAGGGGTTGTAACTCGTCGCTCCATGATGCTCACGCTCATCACACCTTGAGGCAAGCTGGTGCTGGTGCTCAAGCAAAGTCGTCCGTGGAAATCGCTTGGGTGGAACCACTCGAGCTGCAGCGGAATGGCACCGTCCGGCTGAAACCTCCTCGCTACCTGGCTGATTGCGTCAATTCTTGGAGCGTGGAAGGGAGCATGGGCCCCAAGCACCTTAGACTCCCAAACCCAAAACAAGCAACATTTTTTCATAACTTTCCCTACTCTGACGACTTCAGTCACTCATCTCGGACCGAACATCACCTCAGAGGCTTGGACATGCCCATGGCTGCCTTGAGCGTGGAGGCGTATGGGATTTTGTCCTCTCGCAGAGAGCCATTCTCGGAGTCTGTCACCCTAAGAAGTGCCCTCCAGGTCTGGTTCCCCAAGGAATACGAGGTGAACTTCACGACGACCATGCGACAGGCGCTGAAGCTGGCTGAAGCTGTTGGTTTGTTTGTAATTTGGAAGAATCCTCCCATTGGTTCCACAAGCGCCTACCGAGGAAAAGAACATCAGTTCCTTTGACAATGTTCATTTGTCTTGGTGGCAGAATCTGGATCAATCCTGACATCAGTTCTGGGTGAAGTGTCCAGATTTGGGATTTGTCAAAGTTGTAGGTCACTCCCGCTGGTTTCGTTCGATTGGTGGAAAAGCCAGGTGGAAACTTACTCCCAGCGTCAGCCCAGCGCTGTGAACTACAAGACGGAATCCCACGTGGTTGAGCAGGTGCATGATGAAGTTCCAGCGACCACTGTGAAATGACCGTGGCCTCAGAATACATAGACGTACCTTGTAGATCGTTGTAGTGTAGACTTTAGGGCCCACTCGGTCATTTAGATTGAAGGGAGATGCAATCCCTTAGTATTCTCGATGAGTCTCCGATCTGTGTATACAAGCAATCGACCCGTGTATACTAAACTATCATCGTACTTGTCCGAGCAACAGCAGGACATTTGGAGTGGCCCCCTTTTGATGTAAACATGATGCAGTGCAGCAGTGAAGAACATGGCGAGTTGGACATCAGCGTCAAATGTTCCCACTGTAAATCAAATTGGACAACAGGATTGACTATCGACTCGAACCAGTCATAAAGCAGTCGCGGGCAGCCCTGTCACCTTTGTGCGCTGAAGTGACATGTGAGGATTTCGACTTCGCATCGGTGCCGAGAAGCAAGCTGGGAGCCCAAGCCCGGTGTTTTGTGCGTTCCTGGTGTGGGGCGTTTCGTCGGCGTTTCGTTGGCTTTTGCGGGGGCGTTTTTGCGGTTTCGGACATGGGTGGGTCTGTCATGGTCTGTCAGGTCTCCTTGGCTCCCAAACTACACGCCTTTCAAGATGCCATGCAGTGGAAGGAAGCGTCATGAGCCAATTTATTCGGAAATGTGTGCGAAACCACAGCGCCCCATCATTCGTGATCGAAACATGATCTCGCAGGTGAAACAATTGCGATATCGGTACCTGTCAGGTGAGGGTTGTCAGATTTTGAAGAGAGGTGCCGCAACTTCTCGTCCTCCCGGACCTCAACAGCAAAGGTTTGATCACAGTGGGCAGTCTCGGACCTCAACAGCGAGCGCCCACACAACTCACAACACACAACCACAAAGACAAACGCAGCCACAAACGCAACCACAAACGCGCAACCACAGACACACACAACCACAACACACAGCCACACCACCAACACAAGCACAAAGCCACAACCACAAAGCCACAAACACACAACCACCAACACTGAAGACACGACCACAAGCAACCACAAACAACCACAAATACACAACCACAAGGACAAGACCACAAGCACACATGCACCAACACACAACCGCAAACACACAACCGCAAACGCACAACCACAAGCGCGCAACCACAGACACACAACCACCACACATAACCGCAACACACAACGACAACACACAAGCGCAGCACACAACCCCAACACACAACCAGAACACACAAGCACAACACACATGCACAACACACAAGCACAGCAGCACACAAGCACAGCACACAACCACGACAGAACTACAACACACAACCACAACACGCAACCACGAACACAACACAAACACACGACGAAACAACACACACACAACCACACAACTCGCAACCACAAGCACAACACAACTACAAACGCAACACAGTACAACAATAAAATTACCTGTGTGCATGTGGCATTTTGCGCGGCAGTTGGTGACAGGGTCGCACTCTGGAGATCCTGGCGACACCCCGATGCAAACTCCCCAACACTGAAACAACAACCCTAAACCCGACGACCCGAAAGCAAAATCGAGAACCACAAAACCCCTGACCATGGCAATATGCCCTTCACCATGGCATGAAAACAAATGATTGAAATGTCATGGTGGGGATCACTTGAATTAAAGGTGTCTTTTTTGCACGAAAACTAGATATGTGGAAACAGAAGACATCTAGGACTAGGATATACCCGCACCCAAAGTTAAGCATGGAGTGCGCGAAAGACTCGCCAAAGTCAAGATTTGCTTCGCAAAGCAAGGCGTTTTCGTAAAAAGGATTCTAGATCAACCACCAATTGGTCCTGCCGGGCGGATGCTGGCGGTTTCAATATTGTGAGAAACTTTCCGGCAGGTGGAATGGAGCTCCAAAATAGGTTGCTGTGTGCCAAGAAGAGTTGCTCCTCAACTTTTGCCTCAAGTCCACCCTGAAGTTCCTGTGTATATTGAGTATATTGGTGTGCCCCTTAACCTCCATAGACGCTCCAGGAATGCTGGCGTGAAGAGTAAGATGCCAACGGCGGGAAGCCGTTGGCGCTTTGAACAGCTCTTGGTCGTTGATGGAAAGGCTGACCTGGAGATAGTGGCTTAGCTTCACCTGGTCATGTTTTGGCTTCACCTGGACATGACTCTAGCTTGTGCAAAGGCTTGAAGACATGAAGAGTAAGATGGGGCCAAAGATGACCTGTGCAAACCGACTCTGTTTGTATTATGGCGCTTCTTGTTTGGTCTGGAGAATGGTCCCTTGTTCAAAAATTCATCATTGGCCGGTCATGTTTTTCTTGCCTTGCGGGGTGAAGGGTCGTGAGCCAACAATCGCTGCAGAAGTCTTTGTAGACCTACATCTAGGTGGAACTGCAACATCGTAATTCACTGCCCCTTGTAAACGTGTAACAACATGTTTGACTACAGTTCGGCTGGTTGAGGCCTACCAGCAGCCGCGTGAAGTTCCGGTCAGCTGGCAGAAGTACTTTGGAAAGCTCTGGGAACATGTCCTGTGAGAGACATCGGTCGGATCTCCAGGATGTGCCAGTCGCAATTTTTGGGACGGGCGGCGCTTTTGAACCGTCCATGGTCCAAACATGGATTCCAAATTTGGAAAGGACATCAGCTTTGTAAAGATGTCGTCTCCTCACTGTACAGACTTATTGGCTTCCAAAGCACCTGCCCATGCCGTTGGGCTTCCAAAAACGGCTCCCTTGCCAGTTGGAAAAGATGATGTGGTCTGCTGCGGGATCGCGCATTCCTCCATCCACTCCGTGCGGACAATTCGCTCTGTGTGGGTTGATGCTTTGTGTGTTTGACAGCATGGCGACGCCAATTTGCAGATTCTACTCCAAGATAACAAGAAAACATGGACTTTTCCTCACCCACTCATTCTCAAAATGTGTGAATGAAGTCTGATGGCCATGGATGGCTGAGTCCTTGCGAATGCTCGGCCCAATTGCCACAACCAAGGGCTAACTTTCCAAGAATGTTGTTTTGTGTTGGCATCAGCTCAGCAAGGTACTCAGTGTCATTTAGCAGATCAAACTGAAGCATGAGGGTCATAAAGTAGACTTGAGTAGACCATAGATGTCAAGAAACTGATCTGCAAGGCAAGGGTTCAAGGGCAGTGAAGATGCTCCAAAAGGGTCTTGAAAGCAGGCCCAACTTCTGTTTGAAGCGTAAAACATGTCTTGTATTGTCTTGTAACTTAGTGATCTTATAGTTTAAGAATGAGCTGGAAATGCTCGCTTAGGAAACAGGTGTTGATTTTCAAGCCCCAAGACATACCAAGAAAGCATTGTGGTTCAATGCTACTCGCCTGCATCCGGTATCCACCACGACTCCCAACCAGACGTCCGGGGTGCAACCCATTGTCCTCGATTTTCCGGTAAGAACCGTTTTTTGCACACTCGCTCACCGTGACCCGCTGCCTGACATCCTCTGGTTGGCGTTTGCGCCCAGCATTATTCTATGGGTCACCGAGACCATCGCTCCTACGTAGGTTGGAGGCCATCGCTATGGTTCACTGAGGTGCGACCTTAGCACCCTTCAATCTTCGTATGCCGCGTGATGCTGGAGGAGCGGCCAGCTGCAGCATGCTGCGCCAGCCAAGCATTCCTCTCTCAAATCACCTTTGCACGGCGTGTGGCTGCTTGTGTGGATGAGGTGGGGGATGACATGTTGGAGTCATCAAGTATTCTCAATCTCACTTCATGGTTGGTGAACAGCCATTCTTTTCCAGCCCCCAGAACTACTTGCATAAGGTCACTCAGAGCGGAAACGCACCTGCTTCCTGCTCGATCAGTACGTCCGGGTTCCGGCGGTTTGACCCGATACTTCCACTGCAGACTGGAGAGCCTGAAAGAAGCGAACCGGATGAAATCCCTGCCAGTTTGCTAGTGAAGCCTTGATGAAATCCGAACCGGAGACTGCATTTTCGCATGGTTTTTTGGAGGGGTTCATGAGACAACGCCTGGCTGGCTGGGCTTGTCTGGCTCCAGTTTTCGAGACTGCATCAGTGACTGGTACAGAGAAATACTGAAATACCATGACATACTTAAAAGATCTTTAAAAAAACATGCAAGAACTACATGACATTCCTTGCTTACAATCTAGCTTCGATCGCAGAGATCAAGGAGATGGTGACCTTTCATGAACTTTCCACTTTTCGCGAGTGGGGAGATATTTGGAGATGCAGTTTTTCGATCTCGTTCGTTTCAACCTACCCAGCAAGTGATCTTTGGTGTCACGACCTTCTCTTTCCCAGTCACTGAGGGTGCAGGGAGGTGTCCCCGTGAGGTCTCCACAGCAAGGATCCACAAAATCGACTCCAGCTTCCCCAACTCAGTCCTACAACTCTTCCCCTACTGATCAAATTGATGGAAGTCCAAGCTACACCAAAATTTCTTCGCTGGGCCACCCCAGGTCTGAACCGCTGTGCGCAGCGGATCAACTGATAAAACGCCAATGGTGGAGGCGTGCAGGGAAAGTCGGACGAGAATTGAGTCTAGAGTCTGAAACTAAGGATGCAAAGGCAACTATGAACGAAGAAACATACAGTATGTATACCAAGAAACTGTATTCAACAACTTTAAACTCGGATCAGTGGGGATTTAGATCAGTAAGAAAGCTCAACATCTACAGTAGATTTGGTGATATAACTTGTAAATATACTACAGTAATTACGAAAGCCAGCCAAGAGGCTAGGCTGAAGTGCTAGATGGGTGAACGAAGTGAGTATAGGGTGCGTGGAGGGGGTCGTGTGAAGGGTCCTGTAGACCCAGAGCTTGCAGGGGGAGAGCGAGCAAAAGATGGTGTCCAAAATGCATCTCTATAAGTTATAAGTGCCTTGGTGATGCGAGTGATGCCAAGAGGTGCAACACTGTATTTTTTGCATCACCAGGTGGCAATGTTGGGCTCAGCAAAGGACATGTTTCTGTATTGCTCAGCTGTAAAGATGAGCAAGCATGTTTCGTTCTAGCAGCAGTGTAGAACACCATCTAGGGTGGGCCAAGACGCACCGTGACCTGTCAGAAGTTTTAGGGAAATCAGGGCACCGGCAAGGGAGTGCTTTTTTGTGGGATCTAGCAGCTGTAAAAAAAATACGTTGAAAGACTGTGTTTGTTCTGCTGTAAAGACAATCTACCTTGGCAAGCCTAGGCCTAGTACACAGAAAAAACCGCATGGACGGCATTCCTGCAAGCCGGCGCGTTTCGTGCTTGCAGCGGAGAAGTTATGCGTAGAGCACTATGTAAGAAGGGCCGCAAGGACGAAGGCAATTTATGGGAAGGTTCTTTTTGATCGTTTTACCGGAAGAGGGAAGGGCACCATCAAAGAATGGACCTTAAGGAACCGTTTTGTTCCTGCCCTTTTCGGCTTTGTTTGGCAGCCGCCTGCAAAAGAGTGTGCCTCCGAAAAGCGGGTTCTAGCAAAAGGGCATTGGCCAAAGCAGAACGCGGCAGATGCATCTTCGAGCATGCGGCACGAATCTTGCGAATGAAGAGGGTCTTATCCGCGTTGCTCTGAGTGTCTACAAGGGCTGGCTTTCGCCTCCTTCCTTCTCAGATAGGTGTATATTTATATATATATTATTCTTCGTGTATTAACAAAAACACATATATAATCATCATAAATAAATATATATATATATATAAGAGGGCGTGTGTGTCTGTCATGGCACCACTTGTGTGCGCTAGCCGCGGCTGTCCGTCCTTCCGCCTCTGGAGGTCGACCAAAGCGCGTGGCGACCGCCGCGACTGGGGAATTCGGGCATTTCGGGAGATCAGCGAGCGCTCCAAAAAAGAGCACATCGCTGTGGGTGGTTTTGGGGGAAGTGCTTTGCATCAAACATGCTGTGAATGCTGGAAACTCGGGGGGGGTCTAGATTGTTTTGGATTTTTGTTTTTTGGGAAGCGGAGAGCGTCCAAGCACCAACCCCCCGGACACTCAGCAAAATGTGAGGGGTCAGGATTATCACCAAGTTCCTCCGTATTTTGAGGATAAATTACATATGACAATGGCCTGACAAAAAGGTGCAACACGCACTTTTGCCGGAAATAACAAATATTATATAGCGGGGTATTGACGATCTCAAAGAACCAGTGGTAAAAGAGATCCCAGACTCACTGGGTCAGCCGGGGTGTATGGCATCGCATCGCCCCAGGTGTAAGGTCCCGTGGCCCAGATCTGGAGTCCGAGGCCGACCAACGCCGCAGACCAAACGGGCCTTTTCCACTACGTTTAATGGTGATCCAATCAAATCTGACCCCGGGAATTTCCACTACATTCAATGCGTGGTTTGAACATGTTTTGAATGATCTTCGATAGGGACCCGGGGATGGTAGGCAGTAGGCATGGGGTTTGAGTTTGATGTGTCTTTGAGCTAGATGCGACCTCGCACCTACGGGGACTTGGTAGGGCACGGGAACTCATTTCTGGCAGATCGTTGTTTTCGATCCAAAGTGACAGAGAACTCAGAGCTGATTTTTTCCCAACGGAGTTCCCTCGACCTGCAACCCACTCACTTTTCAGCCTGACAGATTCTGCCAGGAGCATTTCCGACCATTTGTACATACTGTGCCTTGAGGTGGGCGTGTGTTTCCTTTTCTAGATAGGGGGGGTAGGCTGCTAGAAAAGATAAGAAGAGGTAGCTAGTAGAAGAGTAGCTACTAGGCTACTAGTAAGCTACTACCTAGGACGCAGGATAGCTCAGGCTTGCTTGAAGAAGCGCTCGCACTATTCATTTGGTTCCTAGGATTTTTTTGGAAACTTCAGTTGTTTTTTCAGAAAGGAGAAAAGCGAGTGTTTTCACCTCGCCGGGGGTAGGTGGGGTGGGCCGAGGATCCAGGATCTCCAGTGCGAGCCCCGTGCGACCGCCCTCCACGTATCAGAGTCACTGAGTCACTCGATACGGTACATCAGTTGGACCCTTGTCGATGTCCCTACACCAAGCTCCATCAAGATGTTTGTCAAGAGGAAATCACTAAATCATACCACGAAAATCTATCAATCTTCAGTACGTATTGGCCTTTCCTTGTGGGAATGTCTTCCGACATCAAGGTCACGGGTCTTCTTCATGCCAGGCACTGATCGACTGCCTGTATGATGGGTGCCACTGAGATTCGCAGGTCAGATGCTTCGCCTGATCAAAGTATTTTGCACAAACAAGCCAACAAGCCGTTGCTTCTAAGCCTTAGATCGAAGGCCTCGTTCTTACATGTTTCTACGTTCCCCCTAGGATTTTACGGGACAATCCATCATCCACAGCAGCTGTGGAGCAACCAACTCAAGGACCAAGAGGCCAAGAGAACCATACAGAACGAGTAGGCTTTAAGAAGTTCCATTTGGCAAAACTCTCAGTAGGCGGGCTTCCAAGCTACACCAACTATAGTTGAAGTGAACACCTTGGAGTTCATGGATCGTTCTTCTGACAGGGGGCATTTGTATACTTTCTTACTTTCCTTAAAACCAAACAAGCTTTTTGCTTTGAAACATCGTTTGGCCAGTGACCTCAGTGAACGGTGTCGTCAGACGAAAGGAGGCTTGGATCAACGGAAGAGCTCCGCAGCTCAGTGGAAAGGTGGAGATTGATTTTAGTCAAGCCAATTTTGGTTGAACTGCTATCGTTAAGAGAGGACAATTATTTGAACGCTGAGACATTGGAGCAAGTCTGGTACAAAGTTGATACAATTCTATCATGTTCAACGACAAGTGACGACAGTCAGCCGAGCAAGTCTGCGAGCCCGTCAAATCGATCCAGATTTTGCGCCTCGAAGCCGACAGAGATAGGTGATCGGTTGGGTTCACGTACCGTCACCTGATCAGCAGGTAGGTAGGAGATGGTAGGAGATAGGAGACATGCAGGCTTTTGAGGACCTGCATATAGTGCAGCCCGGCAAGAAGCATGTGTGAAAGATATGCTACAGTGGATGGGCTTCATTTGACCTAGTTTGAAACACAATTGCACTCGAAAGAAGGAAGAATCGAAGATGCTGGGCTCAGTGAAATCCCAAGAGTTCCTAGGACAGGAACATGAG